TGAGTGAAGCATCCTGGAGACGGGGTTGACACTCTGCTGTAGACATGGTGGCTGCTATCTCTGCTGTTATAATTGCTATGCTGTGGCTCATGTTTATGCTCTGCTGCAGCTATTGCCATTGTCACGATGTGGTTGTTGTTCCTGCTGTGTTGTGGCTACGGTTGGCTTATGTCATAGCAGAGCATCACATAACAGCAACAACCGAAGCATAACAGTAGTAGCTATGTAGCTGTCTATGTTCGTTTGGTGAGGCTCTTGTTGCCCAAAGTCCCAGTGAGAGTATGTCCCGAAAGGTCCCAGAAGTCAGTATGCTCATAAATGGGGACAGACATGTTGAAAAGAAATCCGAAATCCCCGTGTGAGTATGGACTAAGGAGCTTCCCCCCCGCATGAGCGCGCGCGCGCGAGAGAGAGAGAAACAGAGAGAGAGAGAGAGAGAGAGAGAGAGAGAGAGAGAGAGAGAGAGAGAGAGAGAGAGAGAGAGAGAGAGACGGGGTGTGGCTGTCCTCTGAACGAGTCTGACTGTGTTTTCATGAGGGAGACTTGCCGCAACAAAAAAAAAGTGAGTGGTGCATTTGCCTGGAAAACATGGAATTATTCATCCATTTGTTGTAACTTGTAACTTGGAACTTGGCAGATGCACTACTTCACAGGCAGGCACATGATCCTAACTAAATGTATCTGGGCATCTTAGATGTCCAGATCCGGAGAATGTGTTCTCTGTAGTGGAGAGAGGCCCAAGGTCTGGTGTCCAACGAAAAAAGAAGGGTCCACTGCCCCCTCCCAACCCCAGCCCGCCTCACGATTTTGGTCTCCCTTCGTCCCGATGAGGAAAACAGGGACGCCGTCCACAACACAGTCAGAACGACCTACACCAGTAGCCCACAGTGGACTGTTATTTCTGCGAATTCTGAGCTGTGCAGCGGTCACAGGGACAGTTGTCTCAAAAAAAAAAGGAAAAAAAAAACGCATCTCACACACAGACACACACACACAGACACACACACACACACACACACACACACACACACACCATCAGGCAATGAACGTGGACGTGTTATATATAAGAAAACAAACAAAGAAAACACGAAATAAGAAAACAATCAAAGGTAGAGGGCGGAAGGGCGGCGGCGGCGGAAATAGCGCTAATTCTCGCGCTAATCCGGATTTCGGTGCGCTAACCCTAATTAGCATCTCCGACGGTCCACTCATGATGGTCTATCGGGACCTTTTGCCGACTGCTCCACGTCGGACTTGACTTTTCTTCACGGAGGCGCCCGCATCGTCGTATAGGCGATGTGTTCACTTGTGGAGAACAAGTGACTGGGCGGCCCCGTACCCCCCACCCACGCACGCTTGCTTGCTTCTACTATGCGCTCAGTACTCAAGGTGTTTGATGCTTCTGCTACCTCGTGAATGATGGACGACTCTTAAGTCTCTTGGATGTCTTTCCGCGCATGGCTTGACCCTGATGGGTTATTAAGCCTGAGAAGTAAATCCTCTGACGTCAACGGACACATGGGCGGTGAACTCTCGGGACCTTTATGACACTTGTGGATGGTAATTGAGTCCCTGCTTGGTACAATAATAGAAGCCTCGGTTACTAATCCCCTCTTTAACCTTTCATGCTTTGACATGTGCCTGGCCTTTCTTCCTGGAATGATGGAACCTCCCCTTTCTTCGAGTACTCGTCTCTGTTGAAATCTTCCTTTTGGGTGGTCATTATTTTTTCATTCTTAGCATTTTTGTTGCATTAGCCTACAAAAACAATAATCTATCTTTTTTTTGTTCACTTTCTGAACTGTTTCCCATCTAGCTGTACTAACGTAGAGAGCGGATGATCACTGTTCTGTGGGTCCGGCAACAGCGTTCGTTAAATTATTGTCAGGCGAAAATAGGCAGTGGCTTTATCACGTTTCTCTGTTGAAAAGACAGTAGCCCCCCCCCCACGTAGCTTCGAGCAACATGGAGGGAGAAGTGGGTGGCTCCCCCCCCCTCTCCCCCTCCCGTTGACCCGGCCTTTCGTGAGCAGGTACGCAAACAATTGGAGGCTTGCTACCTGGACGGGAAACTGCCCGAAGGCCTGCACCATGGCGACCTGGACATAGGCCCCGATCACTCTTATCTGTTCGTGGATCCACAAATTAAAGCCATTCAGGAATAATGCTTACTGAGCGAGCCGTTGTCCTGGTGTATGACAGTGAGGACGTTATCCCTATCCCAATCAAGAAGCAATTGATCCGAGTATATGAAGCTGCATGGATTAGGGCAGGTGTCATCCCAGATACACAAAAGAAAGCCTTAATAGGTGCTTTATCCATGAGGGGGAAAACCTGGCAACATATATTTCTGGGTCCAAGGCGCATGCTGACTGGATGAAGGGGATTGGTTTCAGTAGAATTGATTTTGGGGAAAAGTTCGTACAAAGGTTTAGGTTATGGAAAGCCTTCGGCCTTACATGGTTTACAATTAGGAGGTCTTATTATAACCAAGATTAGCGATGTAACTCCAGCGCCACATAACGGATGTCGTCCTTCTTAGAAACGCCGCGTATAATATCATATCATCGCTTCTGAGGATTGGCAGAGGCACGAACGAAGGAAGTGCTGGCGAGCCTCTGCCGCATTGGTACCTCCCACTGAATGAAATGAACGATCTGAAGGAGACCATGAAATATAAATTCTTTGGATTCAATGCTTGAACATGCCTGTGAATGCTATTTTTCATTTGAGTTTTCAAGTGGAGAAAACGATGGGTAAAATCCTGAAAGTTCACGATTATCAACCGGATAAGGCAGAACCTTCATTGACAATTGCAAACGTTCGTTTTGATCTGGAATCGCAGGCAAGGTTCTCCTACGACCCTCTACTTGTCCTTCCTCTGTCAGAGCCCATTTTCTATTGGAGTGTCAGAGGTCAGAGCTCCTCTATCCTCATCATGAGATGGACCACCAAATCTGTTTCAACAGATCCCGAGTTTGAGTCCTACTCAATAACGCCAATGCAATGATGCAGTGCCTCTCCCTTCACAGAAACGGAAAAGTAAGAATTGCGGCCTCCATTCTCTGGGAGAAACGTGAGAGCCAAAGTAACAGAGCACGTTAGATCTGTCAGAATGTAATGGACACAGTGAAAGGGAGAAACTTTCCCCCCTAAACTCGTGTCAGACATAGCTTTCCCTCCATTCAATCTCTCTGCTTCCCGCTGGCCCGCCTACTCCAGCTCTCTCTCTCTCTCTCTCTCTCTCTCTCTCTCTCTCTCTCTCTCTCTCACACACACACACACACACACACACACACACAAACACACACACACACACACACACCATCAGGCAATGAACGTGGACGTGTCATATATAAGAAAACAAACAAAGAAAACACGAAATAAGAAAACAGAAAAAAAAGCTACAACACCTCGAGGAACAGACAGGAACACCGATGCCGCTGTGCAGCACAATATGTACAACAGGTATAATAGAGCTTATATTAGGCATGGACCTCCCTGTCAATATAGGACGGTTTATAAATTAAGGCAGGTTTCAAAAAATAGCACGTCGCCGTAGTTTCGCAGTAAAAATAATGGTGGGGCCCAAGTTTCGGGGGACAGCAAAAAATATTTGCAGGCAGAGTCCCACAAAACCTTGCAAAAAATATCTTTCAGACCCGTATGACATCTGCACTGTGATATAATAGCAGACGTTTTCGGGCAGCCCACGGATCTAATGGCTTCAGATTAGAGTTGCCTTTTTTTTTTCAGAAAACTACGGCGCAGTCAGGGTTTTAGTTTGTAATTGCACTTGAGGCAAAAGGGCCGGTAATGCTGAATGTATATGACCTACGTTTCGGGTCCGGTGGGGCCACATGGGGGGGTGTTGTATTCGCGGGAATGTCTGAAGTGCAATTACAAACTGTTTTCGTGACTGTGCAGAAGTTACCCCTTTTTTTTTCCTTCTTCTTTTCTTTCGAGCGGCCTGGCTGTGGCACGAATCGAAAACTGACCTGTTCTGCATCTCCGTGTAAAACACGTCCTGATTCAGGCGGTTAATCCAATCGTCTTTGACAAATGAGACTTGGCCACAGGGTTGCAGCGGTAAATTTAATGTGGTCCCATGGCCAGTGACACTGTGTCTCGTGCTCTGAAAGAGTAAGTTAAACGCCGTAACGGGAAAAAATGCCACACACAGAGAGAGAGAGAGAGAGAGAGAGAGAGAGAGAGAGAGAGAGAGAGAGAGAGAGAGAGAGAGGACTCCCTGTATATGACTGCAATCTCGATGAGA